GCTCTTTTTGTTAATATATACAATGGTTGAAGTGAGCTTTTGTATGTATTTCCCCAGTTTTCAACGCCATACTCTAAGTATGGTAAAATCAATTAGGAATACAAAATGCGTAGTGCTTTCCTGTCCAAAATATATCTAACCCTTGCCAATATCGATATGTTCTTTGCTATTTTGTTCTGAATATATCTGATATGAGGTTTTGTAATTTTTGGGTATAAACTGCATCTATATAATGTGTTTAATAAACTCCTCATTTCCTTTGTGCTTGTTAGGATTTAACAAATCTATATTTGCTAGCCTGTGGAGATGTAATGAAACTTCAACTTTAGCTATAGCAGCTGGAGAGCGTGATGAGAACAGTGGAGTCTTTAGCTGGTTGGGCCACATTTTTTGCCCCAGTTACTAGTATTCTAACATGTCCCCTTCGACATCGGCTTTTCCTCCAGGCGCTAGCATTGTTGCCATCGTAATGCGTGTTCATACATTCCGAGGGACGTGGATACAAGATCTGAACCGAAATGACTTGTGGATTTGTATAGATGCTGGTTAAAATGTAAACGTTCTTTTGCTAGAATTGCTGACTATACCTTTAATAAATAGTTGATTCTAACTACTTAGATTGACTTTTAAAGGACTTTCCTAATTCAACTATAGTTAAGTCATTTTTTTCTAGAAAAAATAAAGAAAAAACGCAACAGTACATGGAAATTACAAAATTCAAACAAATGAAATCCGAAATACTGCTGTAGAAAATTCTTTACCAAATGCTGAGTAAATAAATTCATAGAATTCAGCTGAATTTGATCTCACGATAACTCGGTCCAGTATGTGCCGTCAAGCTGCCATGTCATATTAAAATAAACCTCCAAAGTTGTAAAGTTTGTTTATAAAGTAAAGCTCAGGTTTCAGAAAATCATTCTTCCCTATAAAAAGCCTAATTATTTTTAATACTCTGCAATGAGAATCACCTGTTCTCAACAACTTCTGTCGCTTTCGCGTTCAGGACAGTCGTTCGTCTGGGAAAGTGTAAAAATGACCCCTGCTATGCTTTAGACAGGTCTACAAGATATTAAATGGTCTATGTGTGTCAAAATCATTCAAGAGTTACTTGTATAAATGCACCAAAGAAATCTGATTCTTCAGGGATGTCATTTTCATTAAGGGCC